TACCACATCAAATCCATATCAAAAACTAACCCCCCCCCCCCCCGAAATAATCTACGACTTCGTCTCCAACCCCTCAAACTGGGGCCGCACCTACGCCGGCAGCTCCGGGCTGCCTCCAGGTCAAAACCTGTCTCTCCCCCTCAAGGTCGGCGACGTCTGGACCGAAAAAGTCGCTTTGCCGAACAACACCTACCACCCACAATGGGTCTTGGAAATCGCGGACCGCGGTCGCAAATTCGCCTTTCGTCAAGTCAATAACATCGCTGCAGGGGAGGATGGCAGCGGTGGTGTAAAGGGGTATTGTTGGATCACGTATACCTTCACAAAAGCCGGGGTCGGGTTAACCCTGTTTACGCGCAATTTGACGTGTGAGCTTGAGAAGGGGGTGGATGTCCCCGAGGATCTTTGGGTGGCGATGAGCAGGCCGAGTGGGATTGATAGGTATCATGAGAAGATCAAGGAGTTGTTGGATGAGGAGATGGGGGAACATAGGATTTTATCGGTTTGAAGTGGTGATGATGTTAAAGGGAATGAAGGTTGGGAATGAGGGGAGTTGAGGGCGGGTGTGTGGCGTTGGAACTGGGATTGTATGGTATATGCGAGGTATGACCAGATGCCATGCAGATGGATGAAGCTGTGATATGAAAGATGTATACGACCTTGCGTGCATTTCAAACATCAAGACGGCTGTTCAGGCTTCACAGATCCTCCCAGCAGCACAACGTTCTGGTACGCTCTCGAAGATGCGACTATACACAACGGATGTTTGGCTGTCGCTCCAGGTAGTCATATAACGCAGCCTATTACGCAAAGGTGCCGCGTAAACAAGAACGGCCTACCCGAGTTCGCTGGTCTGGCAAAGCCAGTGTATGCTAGCGTTGAAGGACTGTCGGCCAACGCCATGGCTCCAGAGAAGGATGAGAAAGGAAATCTGGTATACAAACAACACGAGGTACAGGCAGGGACACTGATCCTGATGCATGGCAATCTCATGCATGCTAATGCAGCCAATGAGAGCGGGAAGAGCCGCGTCGCATTCAATTTTGGTGTGGTAGAGGGGACGCGTGAGTGGTTAGCAGATAATTGTTAGCAGCCTTACGAGGGTGAGGCGGAGTTCGAGCAGCTTCGTGCTTGTCAGTGGAAGCGCATGGGCGAAAGGATACTTAGACAAGGAAGGCCGGTGTCGACGGCTCGGGCTCGGGGTTGGTAGATTCTAATGCGATGACGCAATCATGCATGACGTAGCGTGCTTAACACACAACCGCCCTAAACCTCATCAAGGAATCGCGCTTGACGCATACAAAGATCTCTATTTAATTAGATCTAGGGTTCATAATCAGCCTAGGAGGCATTCCGTAGAGTTTGACGTCGATGCAGTGAGTAGGCGCAAGACATGTACAGCTCCAGGCTACAGGGTAGCACTTGCCTGCCAGGCTGGAAAGCGCCATGTATCCACGAGACATGTGGTACAGAATGGTCTAACACGCTGCATGTAAGGCGCTGATTGGTGGGGGTTATGGAAAGAATATGCCTTGCTTACTCTTCTTCGCTGCATGTAGATTGGCTATGTCTGATGCCTAGTCGCGCCTGCCGTGTTCTGAACAGCGGGCGCGTAGACCCCACCACGCCTCACGAATACTCCCGCATTGCAATCACGAAACGAAATGAACCCGACGCCAGCCCTTACGCCCATGTGGTCAAAGAAGACTGACACCGACACCTGCAGATGGACTCAGGGCTATCATCAGGGGAGTATCACCGGCTATCATCAGGGGAGTATCAAGCTGTCGAACATGCGCAAGGCTGCACGCGATGGCTGCGTTCGATGCAAGCTACTTCTTCGAGGGATTGAGAGGTACACGTTTCCTCCTCGCCGTCCTCATCGAACTACAGAAGCCACTCTGAGCGAGCATGAGCCTCATCGGAGTCTCAGGGTTACGGTCAGCAACGAGCCAGACACACCTCTACGGGTGAGGATACGACACATAGGCATGGCAACTAAATCAGGAAGTTTGCCCATGAAGTTGTATTTCTACACTGATCCCGGTTCGTTTGATATACCACAGGAGATACTGTATCCATGTCATTCACTTACCATTCTCAGATAAGCCACCTTGCTTTTCGGACATTGAGCCAGCAGGACACATCCCGGCTGACCCTGCCTCTCAGGCGTGCTTTGACACAATCAGAAAGTGGACTAGGAATTGTAACGCTCTGCATCCACAATGCTCTCCTAAGACAGACATCTCAACGACACCAACGAGGCTCATCTCGGTCGGCTCGTCCTCAGATGACATCAAGCTATGCAGCTCGAGTGGGATGCCAGCTGATACCCACTATGTTGCTTTGAGTCACGCATGGGGGGTAAAAGAAGATCGCATGAAAGCCATGCCCCTGCTCTTGAACGACAATGTTTCTTCTCGGATGTCTGGCATACCTTGGGCCGAGCTCACGCAAACGTTCCAAGATGCCGTCACGATCACCAGGAATATCAGCATTCCATATATCTGGATCGACTCATTATGCATTGTCCAGGATGATCATGTTGATTGGGCTAAAGAGGCTTCACGGATGGCAGCGGTGTACAAGCACGCATACCTGGTTATCGCGGCGACAAGCGCGAAGAATGGAGACCACGGCTGTCTTCGTCCCAGAGACCCAAGTCACGACCTAGTGGACTCGGCTAATGGCAGCTTGCATGTACAACGACAGATATCTCACAGCACAATCGTTGGGTACGAAACAGAGAATACTGATACGCCTCTTCTGGATCGAGCCTGGTGTTTTCAAGAGCGATTGCTTGCTCGTCGGGTACTCCACTATACTGAACAGGAGATGGTGTGGGAGTGTCAAGAGAAGCTTTGGTGCGAATGCCAAACTATAAAATTCGATATTTCATTTCCCCCGAGGCCGGAAATTCTCAAGCATGCCTATGCCGCAGCGGTAGAATCGGTGGACCCTAAAATACGCGCAAAGTCATGGGACAAGTTGGTCGAAAGATATTCTGAGCTGGCACTAACGTTCGAAACAGATCGACTTCCAGGCATCTCTGGGATCGCCAGAGAAATTGCGCTACCAGTGCTGGGAACATATCTGGCAGGGTTATGGGAATATCAACTTCCGCAGGCGCTTTTGTGGACATCTACAGGCAGAGTAATCGACCGACCTTCACAGTATCTGGCACCCACATGGTCTTGGGCGTCGATTGTCACAGCTGTGCATCCATTCGGATGGGAAGGATGGCAAAGGCCGATGACCACAGTCTGTCGGGTAGTTGATATAACTTGCACGCCGAACACTTCCGATCTATATGGGCACGTTCGAGACGGGCAATTGGATATCTCTGGGCTGACGATAGCAGCAACTCTGAAGTTCAGAGATCGAAAATACGGACCCAAATCGTACGATGTTATCTTGGAAATTCCGAATACCGAAACTCCTGAAAGATCAGTAGGTGTCATTGTGAGGAGTGACATTGAGTCGTTGGAAGACACCGTAACAGTGGTAATATTGCTCATACATGTCCGAGCCGATTCCACCATGGATCCTTTCGCTGAAGGACTTGCTCTAGTGCAGTCTAAGACGCACAACGGTTGTTGGGAGAGAGTTGGACGTTTGGAGGGATATGGACTGGACCTGTCTCAATGGAAGGAGGGAGAATTCATTATCGTCTAGCTCCGCCTCGGAGATAACGTAACCCCGCATGACATCACCACCATGTCCCTCGAAGACGATGCCACAACCTCCTCACTTCCAATCAACCAAAACACCCTCAACCTAATCTCCTTCACAACCTCACCGCCCCAACTTCCAGCATGTCCGTATTCCGCCCCTCAGCACACGCCCTAATAACAGGCGGCGCATCCGGCGTCGGCTACGCCGTCGCCCGCCTCTGCCTCAACCACTCCATGCGCGTCTCCATCGTCGACTCCAGCCAATCCTCCCTCGACCACGCGCGCAAAAACCTCTCGAATTCCAACTCCGTAACATTCATCCAAGCCGACGTCTCCTCCCGCTCAGACTGGGCCTCAATCCGCCAACAAGTCGGTCTCGACGTAGACTTTCTCATGCTGAACGCAGGTGTTGGCGGAAAAGGTACCTGGGGCGACGAAGACTACTTTGACAAGATTCTGGCTACGAATCTGGGGGGTGTGGTGAATGGGTTGAATGCGTATGTTCCGAGTTTCAAAGAAAGAAGTGAGAAGGAGGGGAAGGAGGAGGGGATGGCGATTGTAATCACAGGGAGCAAACAGGGTATTACGAATCCGCCGGGTAATCCAGCGTATAATGCTAGTAAAGCGGCTGTGAAGACGCTGGCTGAGCATTTGAGTTATGATCTTAAGGATACGGGTGTTGGGGTGCATTTGTTGGTGCCGGGGTGGACTTTTACTGGGCTTGTAAGTCTCTTTTAACCTGGTCTTCTCATCACTAACACCTCTCCAGTCTGGAAACGAGCCAGGCTCGACAAAAGCCAAACCGGAAGGTGCATGGTCGGCTGATCAGGTCGCTGATTACATGTATGCCAAGATGCAGGACAAAAAGTTCTACATCATCTGTCCTGACGACCAGGTAACGGAGGAGACGGATAAGAAGCGCATGTTGTGGAGTGTTGGAGATATCGTGAACGAGCGCCCACCCCTAACCCGATGGCGAGAAGAGTACAAGGAGGAAGCTGAGAAGTGGATGGCGGAGCAGAAAGTGTAGACTGTGCGATAAGATGTGTACGTTTATTAAGATTACTTACAGTAAGGAAAAAATTGGGTATCTACAGCATTTTTACGACTTCCTCAATCTTTTCACCACTCTCAGCCCATGCGCAAGTATTACGCCTTCCCGTCACCACCAGTAGCGCCCATACCCAGCCCATCCATTGCAGTCTCGAACCTCTCAACCCCCGGCCTCTCTACCTTCTCCCCCTCTTCCGCCCTCTCCTCCATCACACCATCACTAAACAGCCCCGCCCCAGCCCCAGCAGTAAAGAAGCGCTCAACGCCCGGTCTCTCCTCTTTCAGCACCTGTTCATTCACACTCTCACTCTCACCCCCCGGCACCATACTACTCTCACCAGCTGGAAACATACTACCAAGTTGCTTCTCTTCTACATCATCAACAGCCGGCGGCGTAGTAATATTCACACTCGCAAGCGTAAGCGTACTAGCATTAACATCCCTCCCATCCGGGCCATCAACTTTCAAACTGAACGGGTAGGCGATACCGCCAGCCGTGGGTCGGGTAGTCAGAGTATCAGTTTCAGGGATGATGGTGCTGGAGTTGTCGGGGTTGTCGGAGACGATGATGTTGGGTGGGATACCTGGCTGACTGGTTTCGCTCGTGGGAGAGGGCAGGGGCGAGGCAGAGCGTTCTGGGGCGAGTGTTGTTGCGTCGGCGAGACCAGGGGTGGGTAGGTCGATTTTGGAGAGGTCGTCCATGGGGAGGCCGGTTTGGCCTTTGTCGGTGACGGCGGAGTGGCGGGAGTGGGAGCGCGAGCGTTTTATGCCGGGGGTGGTGAGGTTGTTGGCTCGGCTGCGGGTTGGCGCGCTTTCTGTTGTGCCGTCGATGGCTGTATTGGCTGGATCTTGAGTAGAGGTTGAGGCCTCGGTGTCGGGGTTCTGGTCTGCTTTCTCTTCGCGGACGATCTGGGGCGTGTTAGTAACGTTGTCGTGGCTGACGTTGAGAGTGAGTGCACTTACAGTAGCTGAGTCATGCTTACTGCCCCATCCAGCCCACATCGACATACCCCAACTCCTCTTCTTCGCCTTCTCGGCCTTCATGCCCTTGATCCTTCTACCGGCCAAGGCAGTCGGTGGTGGCGTCTCTCCCTCGAACCCTTCGAAGCCTTTCTGCATATCCTTAATACGCTGCTTCTGGATCTTGATCTTCTGCTTGGAGAACTTGTTGTTCCACTGAGATTGCGCTTTCATCCATTTGCTGACGGGTCCTGTCTTTGGCACGCCCACGTCAACGCTAGGGATGTTCAGTGCAACAAGCTCCTCCTTCGGGGGGAGTGCATAGATGCGCCCGTGTCGATCGATGCGCTGGCGGATCATATGGCGCTCGAATGGAGGAATCGCGTCACCAGCTCGGCCAACGCGTGCGTCTTGAGCAGCTTTCTTCTCGGCTTTGGTGGGTTTGGGGTGATTGTTCGTTGATTTTGGGTCGTCTGACGAAGAACCGGAGCCAGGCTTGTCAGATTCAGACGAAGTGCCTGAATCACTGCTCATGAAGGAGATGTCGTCATCGTCAAGGATGTCGATGGACTTCTTCTGAGCGCGTGCAAGCGCCCAAGCACCGAACTGGGCTATACTACGGTACATGTGCTTTGCCGGGCGGGTGAAGCTGAGCGTAGGTGCAACGTGACATAGATCATCCCAGACCTGGAGCTGAACGTTCGTAGGCCTGTAGCTGGCGGTCTGAGCTTGTATGGACTCTGCGGTCTGGTTGTTGGAAGGTGGCGGTATGTACGCCAGTGGTTGCGCAGCTTTGTGGGCGAGGTAGATCTGCTCGTCTCTGAGTAGCTCACCACCACCCGTTTGGATGAGTAGAGGTGGCAATCCTCCAAGTGTTGGCTGTAGCACCGGCGATACCAGAGGATGTGTCAAGAGATGATTCGGGGCGTACATCTGAATCTGGTCCTTGATCTCGACGCGTTCATCTTCGAGCTGAACTGATAGCTGGCTCTTGGGTCCAATGCTGTATTTGCCATTGGACGAGATCCAAGTACCCATGCCTTGTCCTGTAGCTGATGGATCCGCGACCTCTTCTAGAGGTGGTCGATCTCCAGATTGGACGGAGTAACCTCGTACGCGCTCGGCCTCCGCCTCCTTCTTTGCTGCCTTGTCCTCCGTCTTGTCTGAGCTGTTCTTCTTCTTGTTCGAGCCCTGGAGGGATGTTTCGATGTCCAGCATATCGTCTGCGTTGGGAGGTGCTGTATGGGGTCAGTAGTAGCTCGTCGACACGGACACGACCAACTTACGCCAGCTCATGCTCGGCTTGTGGATGAAGCCGTGCGAGGGAATGTAGTCCATCTTGCCATCGCCACCCAGACTAGGGAAGCTGTGTGTCAAATCCACCCATGGACTGATCAAGATGGCTCCTGCGGGCAATGGTATGCCTTGGTCGCGCATTGTCACGAGCATGCTGAGTACCATGCCGCCACCTGCCGAGTCGCCAGCGAGTATAATCGTCGTAGGATCGTGCTTCTGTTCGAGGAGGTAGAGGTAGGCGGCCAGACCTAGAGTTGTTAGCATTGCTTCTTCGACATCGAGCAAACCACTTACAGTCATGTAGACCACATGGGAAGGGAAACTGAGGCGCAAGTCTGTATTTGGGCGCCAGCACCCTAGCCTTGAGCTTGCGCGCATGCCGCTGCATCTGATAGCGATGCTCGTCGACGCTGCCGAAGAAGTAGGCGCCGCCATGAACATAGAGCATTATGCGGTCGCCTTTGGTGATTGCCAGCTGTTTCCTCGCGTCGTAGTCCTTGCGCATCTCGATCCACTCGGCCTTGAGTGTCGTGCCTTCGCGTCTCCACTGCCACCAATTCGTTCCTCCGACTGCCTTGATGCCTTCTGGTCCCAATTGTGCATTGAGCAGTTCAGCTGAGCGCTGTAGTAGAGTCGCGGAAACCTCGACTACATTCACGTGCACCCAGCGCGGCACTGGAACCCATTGCGACGTGAAGGCCTGTAGCTCGTCGACTGTGTGGAAGGAGGCATAGTGGAGAAAGCGGCGGATGAGCTCGAGGCCTTCGTGATACGAGATGTGCGCCGTGGGCTTTTGCGCAAGGGGTCGGCGATTGAGGTAATGCGAGAGATATGTCTGGATGACCGTGGGCGTCACAGCCGCGCCCACAGAGATGGTGTTGACAGGCATCGCGACTCGGGCTTCAGGGGTGCGGAGCTATCCGAGGTGGCGTAAGACGCGCCCAACTATTGTCGCGTAGAAACCTGGATGGTATGCGGAGGATCTACCGCTGCCGGGAATGACGAAAACGCGTTCTAACAGAGGAAAATGTACGAGTTGTAAGAGACACAGGGAAAGCTTCGTGAGCCTTAGGGGTTGGGAGTGGAGATGGTCCCCCGGATTTTCGGTGCACCTCCCAACCCCTGCACGACCCGCCCGTACGACGTCATCGAGACCCTTTTCAACATTATCCGAGCGTGTGAACCACGAGATGGCAGTTGATCGTTACCATGCCCGGCGCTCAGCATCAGCTCGACAGCGTCGTCATCAGCAGTTCATCAGCTATCTTAATCCAATCCAGCAGTCGATCGTTTATCAGACGGGTGGCCATGACGTGACACGAAGCTCTGCTTGAAAGAGGCAGACTTGGTCCAGTAGAACATAATTGGGTCGAGACTATTGTACGCACTTTAGTTGTATACCGAAGTAGCGCTGTTTCAAGATCGCAGTCAAGTTGCGGCTTCCCAGATACATATGCGGGTACTTCGTACAGCACGATGAAGACCTGAGATAGGGGCGGTATAAATTGCACGCATCATCTCTGGGGTGGTGCGACAGTAAAAGCATTGTTGTCGAATTATGAAGATGACATGGAGATCTTTCACGGTCTACCGGAGTTGGCCCGTTGACACGTGCCGTCTGAACAAGTGCTAGCGCGTTACGGGCTTAGTCATCACCATCTCGTCCCAACTTGGGGCAGGAGCTTCCACCATCCTCGCGCACCCATTTCACCCATTTCGCCGACCAACGGCTGTCATCAAGAAAATGGAATTGATCGCACCAGTTACGATACCGAGATTTGTTAGCGTAATAGTAGAGCCGATAATTGCTCTCGGCGCCTACAGCGCAGCATGCGGCGGGCTCACTTGAGCGGGGCCTGCCACGTCCTCAACCAGGGTTTGCAGCGCGTCTATTTAACCTGCATCGACCTGACTCAGGCACATACCTGAACTGTCGGCAGGACGGGAGTCACCGAGGCCTCCCGCTGTCAAGATCTCTGTCTCAGATGGCTGGCTTTCCGCCGGGCCGACGCGAGGACACCTGAAGTCAGAAGGCAGACCTCTTGCCCCTCAGTGCAATTCGCTGGAATGGGACAGGGCCTTCCAAAGACGTCTCTCATGACCTCTGCTCGAAAATCGTATGCGCGTGAGTGCACGAGGAACCATGCAGCTAGAGGCCCGAATTGTGCGCTGCATACGCATGCAGGAGACGTACTCCGTATCCTATCTGGTCTCTCGGTGCGCGAGGGTCCTTCCCATTGGGTCCTGCCATAGGATGCGGGATGTTCCAGCGTGCAGCCGAGCATCGTCAAGGGCATTGGGTAGCACCAGTGAAATGCCCCAGATAGCTGACACATCAAGCACTACTCCAAGAACATCGTCCTGCATAACGCCGCCGTGTAAGCAACATGAGCCCGACCAAGCGGAAGTATAATGGGTAGTTTGAACGCAGGACGGGAAGCTTCACTTCACATCATCTTCCTCTTGACAACTGCTTCAAGTGCATACAACGATTAGTCAATATGATTGCCGAACACAAATCCACCCTGCTTGAGCTGGCCAAGGAAGTTCAGCAGTTGACCACACAGATCGTCGCCGATTTGACCGAGAACAAGGTGCCAGAGCCTTCATTCGCCATCGATTCAGACACCATTCCCGAAACTCCGGAGCACATCAAGTTGCGCGATAGTCTCAATGATGCCGCTCGTGACCTACTCCGTCTTGTCAACGGCCCCAGGAACG